CATGCAGACNTACGACTGAGAAAATTACTTCATTGTGATTAGCTGAAAGCTGGCAAATTTATCATTAATTTTTCAATTTTCGCTGCAGTGTAAATTTATGCGTGCGTGTTTGTCATAATTTTCCACAGTGTTTTTTTAACAACACATAAAAAAGTTGACTTCGTCCCCAGTCCTAATCCTACAGGGTACTGGTGACGAGAGTTGTTCTCGTCTTACGAGAGGGAAGCTACAACATTAACAGCGGTTCGTGATGTCCATCGATTTTCGATCCGGCGTGAAGCTGGGTGATCTGAGGCGAAAGCTTTGGTCGCGTTACCGATCCAACTTAACCTTTCAAGTTCCTGGAGGCCAATCAGTGCTTGGTTTTGGCGATATTAATGCTAGGTATGATTTAGACAACTTCTTACAGAATGAACTTCCAGCCAAAGTGAAAGAGTTGGATTTACGTTTCGACTTAGAGGTTATTCAGTCTGGAAGTTTTACAGAAGGAGTGTCTTTGTATAGGAAACACTCTCACGATGAGACAGTTGAACAGGAATACGACTTTCTTTTCTTAATAAAAGCACTGAAGGTTGATTCCAACGAAAATATTAGGCGCATTTCCGTCGTTGAAGGCGGAAGTACAGAGAGGGATGAGATAACGCGGGGTCATTCATGGATTCGTCTGAATGACGCCGTTCTTCAAGCAACATGGCAAGATTGCGTAATTGAGCGCAAATATGAAGTCTTCCTGTCGTCAACAAAAACAGTCGAAGTGCTCCACGCAAGAATTGAAGAAGTTTTTAGAAATAGCTCCTTTGGAAAAAAATGTGTTTATCGATTTGAAGTCAACGGGCCAGCGGTCACCCTGGTCATGGATCTTAGAGACATCAGCGAAACCCAAGTCACTTTCAGTTTTGATTTTGTTTTGGCGTTGGACTGGAACGAATGGCCCATCTCTGCTAAAGAGTGGATCACGCGACCCCGGGAGTGGCCAGAACAAACAGTCGTAGCGGAAGTTGTCAACAGTGGCGTATACTTGGTTCCGAAGGCCTCGAAGTACGGCGATCCTGAACTAGAATGGAGAATCTCTTTCTCAAAAGCTGAGAAAAGTATATATTCCTGTTTTCCGAAACCGCGAGGTGAATATGTTTTTCCTGGTGGGAGGAAAATCACTTATGATCATCTTCTGATTCCTGATGCCAGTTGCCGCATTGAATGCTATCGCATATTGAAGGAGATATTCAAAGAGCACCTCTCAATTCCCAAGATTCTCAGTTCTTATCATCTCAAGACCATCATGCTTTGGGCGTGCGAGAAACATCCTGAAGATTTCTGGGAAAGTGCCAACTCAGCAATCTGCTTTTTGGGTCTCCTTGACGACCTTCTTCATTGCCTGGCTACTCAGCGGTTAGAACAGTTTTTCGTGCCGTCAATCAACCTTCTCTCACATCACGACAATGGCTTCTTGTTGACCTTGACGAGAAAGGTGTCCCTCATCCGCACCACGCCACTGCAATACGTAAAAACGCCTGGGGATGACTTGGGAATACAACTGACGTACAGTGATTCGTTTATTGAAGATTCTGAGAAAGCTCAGTTGGAGGCCATGAAAACGTGGTTCCCTGGAGCTGCGAAAAAATCACAAGGTGAAGTGTTTGCCCAAATGTGTTACAGTTACACAATGACTGAAAAGTTTGATCCCTCGAGAGTTGACAATACGTATCTTCGAGATAACCAGTAATCTAAGTCAGTGACAAACGTCTATCATCAGACTTTTTTTAAAAAACTGCTTTACATGTTTTTGTTTACCCTCGTACGTAAAGCTGGGTAACTGACGATTTATTTCTGATATCTTTATTTAGAAGCTGTAGGCACATCCATAGCAAGTCAACCCTAATCATGGTCGCCCTTTGTTAAAGCACTTGTCAGTGACTAATGATAATTAGAAAACAGTCCCAAGAAAATACGCGCGCTGATTGCTTAAAAACCGTGTTTCTATTAAACAATTAGATTATGAGCTCGAGATTTCTATCGCGTGCGCTCTCGTCAGCTATGACGCATAAAAATCGAGAGCGAATTATCTAATTGTTTTAGTATAAATCTACTAGTTGTTCACAACTTTCATCTAAATGCTCTTCACAGACACGTCGAAAACACAAAGAAGCGGCCGCCAGCGCACACTGTATATTGCAATTCCTGAAGATGCTCGGTGCGTGTTCTTCCTTTTTATAGAAGGTGCGTTCCATTGATAGTAATACGGCCACAGTTCGAACCAGATGCATTTGTTTCGATTCTGCGTGTACCAAAGTGTTAAGACATGGGGATTCACTGTCCTTGATTGAGGCCTTAAGTGTTTCAACGACATAGAGGGAAACAACACAAACAAATCTTCTCTTTCCTTGTTGGTAAACACCGTGAACCTCAATCAATCAACGCCAAACGTTTTCAACCCATAATACCAATCGACATCGTCGCGCACGCTTTTACGCTTTTGGGGGACAACCCTTGTCAAAATAGCTGTATATCAAATAATCTAATTACATATTAGACAAGCATAGATAAGTCACTATGGCGGTAATATCGCTCATAAGGTCACGCGGTTTGAGTTTTGTAACTTTTGTGCTCTTAACCCCTTAAATAATAATAATAATAATAATCCATCAAGTAATCCAGCAGACTTATGAATGCCCTAGGCTCACGGATTGAACTCGGCACCATAAGTTAAAAGCGGCAAGACTTTAAGGACTTATAATACTACTAATAATAAAAAGTGTTAAGACATGTAATTCATTTTGTTTTCTGCTAATTTAATAGCTGTTCTTAGTCACTACTGCGCTCAATACAGCAGAACACCTGTGGTGTTAATGAGTTAAGACATTAAGAGAAGGACAAGTGTAAGCGGGACGGTAGCGGGTAGGAGAGGCGGTTTGTGATGACGTAGCGATAAGTGTCACTCCGGCATTAAAGATTTCAGGGGATTTTCATATAACTTTTTACGAACCTGGCTCAGAGGGTTTGACTCTTTCTTTTTTTTTTAGTCTTAAACTTAATTTAGTTGTAACGAGTGAGTACCGAGAAGGAAAGAGAACTGAGAAAGAGAAGTCACGAACGTAAGTGAGTTACTGTGGCTAAACTTATACGACGGAGGTAAGGGGGGTCTGAGTATCCCTTTTTCTGTTCATTTTTGGCTGAGATACTCCGTATCCCGTTAACTCAGTCCAATTGCAAATATTTTTGAATTTTCCAACTGGATATCCTGGGATATCTGTTCTCAATACCCCATACCCCACCATTTCTTTTCCACCATGCTGAATCCCGTTAATTTTTTTTACCTATATAGCCCGTATCCTGAGAACCCCTTCAGCGCCGAATTAAGTTTTTAGTGCCTTAAATTAAAAGTACGAGCGACAAATGATTATAGCGCTATACGTAAACAAAACAAAACAAAGAATAAAACGAGGTTTTGGCATTACTACCGAAGGGTACAAAACCTAGCCATAGGTAGTAATCTTTTACGCTTAAACTTGGTTTACTTTCTTTCCCGTAAGTTGCACGCGTTTCTGATGGAGATAACTATAACCAAGAGAAACCTCAGCTGAACAAGTTAACGCCACCTGGTTCTACATTTAGCAAGACAGCCTATTCCATTCCAATCGTACTTATTATCGTTATTATTACTTTTTTATTTTTTTTTTTTAAGTACTAAGCATTACAGCATTATTATAGCGCTGTACATAAGATAAGGCCAGGGCCCCTCTGGATACCAGCCATGAGGCTGAATGGGCCACCTTGGCTATATAACGTTTTGCTCTACATTACCAGTACAACAGTGACTAGTGACTAGATTAACGAATATATTGATATCTATATATTTTTATACCATAATTCATAGGAAACTGAGAGGAAATCAAAGGTTAATGAGTGTGCACGACAAATTACGTTCTAGCGTAACGAGGAGAAAGAGTAACCTCAAGGGACTAGTCAAGCCATTCTCTTTACGTTATATATTTTTTTCTATAAATTACTTTACAAATAAATTATTTTATTTGTGTAAATTACAGGCAAAAATCAAGATACATAAAATTCATAAAGGATCGGATAACCACTAAAAATGAACTCGGAGTCGTTTACCAAGAAAATGGAATTTTTGATAACAGATAGTCTTAATTATTACCACGCATACTACGAAAAAATAAAAGTACAGAGAAAAATAACATTGAAACCCACCTACGGTGAAGTGCTCTTCTTTTGGCACGGTTTATACCACCATCAAACCAATCTTAATATATTTTACTCGCCACGTTCTTTTAACCCAGCTGCTGTTGGATTAAACTAATGAAACAAACGAACATTCCAGGAAATACAAAGAGAAAGGGGTGTCCCTCTAAAACTTAGCTTTACAAAGTGAGTATGGGTTTCATGTAAAAGATCTGGCTTTACTCTATTCAGACCCAATAACCTGAAGTGACTCAAAGTAATTTGAGGTTTGTATGCCATAAATTGGGAGTGACAAGTTTTTCTCAAGTGAGTGAGGCAGAATATGGTGCGGTGATACAAGTTAGAACAGGAGCCATAATCGATTACGGCTCCTCGTTAGAATGAAGCCTACGAGGGAGGGGTGAAGAACCCTTCCTGGGACTGGATTCCTTTAGCTTTTATAGGGAACCAGGTCAGTATAACCTTTACAGACTCATGATTGATTTTTCTTTACCTATCAGGCAGTTTGTGATAAGAATATGGGAATGGAGTATCTGCGTCTGATTTTGTAGTTCCCCAACAAAGGCGGATGGTGATCTAAGACGAAATGTGTCCTTCTAATGTCTCTAGGTTGGAGACACTCAAGCTCACTGCTTACTTAAAATTGCTTATCACTATGCCGGGTTGTACATACCGGAGGAACAAGGTGGTGAGGTGACTGATGACCGTGGTGAGAATTTTACAACACTTAAGTTCTACCAGCCCAACTGGAAACTGATAGTGTTGAAACAAATGCAGGGTACGAGAAAAATGTTGTGATTCACTAATGAACCAGAAGTACTTGTCCATAATATTTTGCTAAAAATGGGAAATAGAGAAAGAATATTTAGCCTACTTAAGGTTTGAGAGGACCTTCCCTTATTATCATTAGTGGGTTTATTTATATCTTGGCGAAGTTTTAAGTCAATTTTCTTTTACGTAAGCAATTATAGGCAACAAGAAATGGGGTTTTTTAACAACTCCTTGGTAGTTTAGGCTTATGATTACACCCAGTGATCACATAAGACAGAACAGAAACTCTTTTCTCATCGAACAAAGACGGTGTGATGTGTGGATCTCGGCCATTTCGTCTCATTTTGAGAGCCAACCTCGTTTCCCGGTTTGTTTTTAATATCGGTCATACATACTCATGACCAACAACCTGGAGTGGTGCATGATGTCTGATGAGAGAATAAGCGAGAAGAATACCTGCTTAGAGAGGAGGGGTGGGGGGGGGGGCGGGGACTGAGGTAATTCTTTGTTATACTGCTTACAAGCCTTACAAGACTCCGTCTCGGTCAATAAACACGCAAAAAAAGAACGAGGCCAATATCCAGGCATCTTGACTGAACAAACTTGGTCAATAACCCATACGTACTCTTTAAGCTCGTCACGCAATCTGTCCTCGTCGCTCGGGAAATTGCGCGGAACGAGCTACGTCTGCGTACGAGGTGAACGCTAAAATTCAAAGGTGCTTTTGTTGCCAAAATATCCTGACACAGTCAATTTCACATTGACTCGTTTTGTTTCCGACGTGCGTCAGTTTGGAGCCGTTTCGCAGACAAACAGCAGAGATATAATAAATATCTTACTATAAACGTCGCCTTTTCGGTTCACACTGCCGCGATACTGCAAGCTAATGCAAGTTACTTCAAGGTACTCATCATCGATTTGAAGGGAAAAAAAATTCGGAAAAAATCGAAGAGGAAAAAAACTCGGTCCTTAACTTACAGTACGGCAATGTGCTCCGCGAAAGGAGGTGCATCGTGAGACCGTGAAAGTAACCCACTTGTCTATAGTCCTGCCGTTACTTTGATCGTCACGCAACGCTCCTCCTAAATAAAGTGAGCGCGACTGGGTTTTCTTTTTGTCCAAACTTTTTCACTTTCCAAAGAGCTATATAGAAAAATCGGCCAAGAATGATGGAGTAGGACTCTTACTGATACTCTATCCCCCCTCCAACGGGTTGGAATTAAACTGACAGAAAGCCCAGTGAGATATATTGAAAAATTGAGTTCTGGCAGTTTGTTTTAATGTTTAAAGTAATCAGTCAAATGGAAGAAGCTATTTCCTTATCTCTTACTGTTTAATCAACCTATAGTTTCCAAAGGGAGATGGTTATGCAAGGAAACAAAGGTGACAATTGTTATATTTGGGAATATTTCCTATTGGTTTATCCCTCTGTCAAATGGAAATAACTATTGTCTTTGGTTCACGGTCAAGGGCAAAAGTTTGTACAGAAGTATATAAAAAGACCTTTGTCAGGCTTCATAACCATTTCTCCCTAATGACTATGATCAAACAGTCCCTCTGAAATGGCTTAGTGTTGACAACAACCAGAGACCCAGAGCTCAGTTCCTGGAACTTTCATTAACACAAGAAGTAAATCAGAAGGGGTTACCAGAATGTCTTCCACTCCTGTGTGCAGGTTTTGTATAGGGGGAAAGGGAAAGCCACAAAAAACAAACTTTCACTGAAAGGTTCTGAACTTGTCTTAAAAAAATTCCCCAACCAAATTTAAAGAAACCCTCCAATATAATAGTGGGCTCAAAGCTACCCTTTAACCATTTTTCCTGCCTATTTATTTGACCACTAGGATCACAAATATGGCCCTATTCTCTCAGAGGATAGCTTGAAACCAACACAATGATGATTAGCTTACAGTGACCTGAAGTGTTCCTTTCACCCTTACATGGCAATAAATCAGTGTTACAATAATTCCTATTTTCCCTACTTTTCTTCAAAATGTCATTTTTGCCAAACTCCTCAACCTTTTTCTAACTTGACCATTTCCTGACCTGTAGCTACCCTGTAGTACTAGCTCTGGTGTTTCCATTCTACAAACTGTTACTCACTCATTCTAATATGTGTACTTAATATCTAGGAACATTTGGCAGGGAACAGATACTGTACCAGCTCAAAACATAGAACAGCTTAAGTGTGCATGAACTTGACAAGGACTATTTCAGGTGCAGAATGCATGCACAAATGGCAAGAACATGATTTTCAGACAGAATGTTTCAGATGGAAGTGATACAGGCATGTCTTATCACTTGGTTGTCTGACCATGCCATGGGACACGAACGTTTTGGAGAAAGAATTCAAAATAGTAATTCAAAGTGGCTGGTGCAACAAAATTTTATCACATACTAGTATCGAAATTTTGGTGCATATTTCAAGACAAATCTCAAAACCTTTTCATCCCGTTTTCAAATCAGATGCAAAGATCACACAACCGAACCTTTGAAGGACGTTAGTTAAAAGGATGACACACTTGTCACGCCTAGACAAAATTTGATACAAGAATTTAATGTTTAACATTGTCAAGTTAAAACCCATCAAAGGTAACCGGTGTAGTCACTTTTAGAGATATCTCAGAGGAAGAAGACATGGTTAAGTAACCAACTGATGTAATCCACCTTAACAGAACAGAAGGCTAGTAAAGCAATTTTCAACTGTGTCAAATACCCAACTAATACAATCACCCTGGCCAATCAGAAAGGGTTTGGACAATCCAGTGAGCCACTTGAACCTTAAAGCAAATGTCACTGATGGAGGCACTGGAAAACGTGCAAAGTTACTATTGTTTTTACTTCCGAATGAATGTCAAAGTGGCGCAAGTTCTTCAATACAATCAAAACCAAGACAAATATGAACTTCCGTCAACACTCAAGAGAAAACACTTTATGATAGAAAGCCTGTAGATTTGAAAGCTCTGCACCATGATTGTCAAATTCAAAGCAGTTCATTGTTTTGATCTGGTAAGCAATGCATTTCAGCAAGACAAAAATATTTTGACAAAGCACTCAGTGAAATCAGTTTTATTAAAAGGACTGATGAACAAAGTGAAAAAATCGAATGATAAGATCATCATACCTTAAGTTCGCATCATAAATTTTGAAGTAGTATTCAAGTCTCTTTGCTTTGAGAATGTTTAAAAATCCAAATGTTGTCTCCTTAGCAAACTTCCTTAGTCATTTCTTATTACACCTCAGTTGGTGAGGCACTGTTTTTTTTCTTTCAGAAAATTGTTTCTTTTTACACTTGCTGTGTTGTTTTAATAAACAAATTTGTTTGATTTTCAGCCAGTTAGCTTTCTGGAAAGTTGAAGAACCTGGAAAATGAAACAAACAATGATCAGATGAATCATAGAGCAAACCAAAAAAATGGACTCAATTTAAGTCGATCCATTTACTTGTTTATTGCCATAACAAACATTAATACAATGTAACTTTAAATTAATATCTATAAATATCAAACTTACCTTACAAAGAAAGCAAGATGCATGTTTTATTAAACTTTAGACACAATATACATAACAATTCATAGGGTGTCATTATCCTGTTAACCCCATTTGCACCAAAAGATATCAACAAATTGGAAACTGCGAAGGACCAAAGTAAGTGCACTGAAGTCAAAACATTGCTGTTAATCCAGGTCATTTTGTTACTATCTCAGTAGCTGTTGTTTCCCTCAGGTGAAAATAGGGTTTACAGTGTGCTGTTAAAGAACTAAGATGCAACTAAACCATTACCTGTAGCAGTACAAAACTTTAAAACCATTAAGATCATATACACATGAAACACAATTCTTTCGGTGAAAGGGAGCAATGGTTTGAAAAACAACCTAGTATGTCAAATGGTCTATAGATTGTTAAAATAAAAATAGGCAGCTTGCACTAAAATGTCACTTTTTTTTCCGATGATTTGCCTTTTATCATTAAAAAATTTCACTCTCAAAAGATCGTACATGTAGCATTACAAATATAGTATAATCATACTACAGTGGTTGTCAAAAAATGACATCTTTGTGCACACTGCCTACTCTCCTTCCTGGTATTACTTGGGAGAATTGCATGGCCAATGCACATCACACAGCTCTCAGTAGTACTTTGTAGCAACTTGATAAAGGTTCACAAAAAGGGAGTGATTATCATTTAGAGGGAAGGGGTGTAACTGGTACTGAGAACTTACGAGAACTCTAATGACACACTGCACATTGTTAACTCACAGAGCTTCTAAATAAGTAAATAGAGATAAGGAGGTCTATTATACACGGGACTCCAAGTTGGAGGTCCTCTTGGCCCTATCTGAGCGACAAAGCTTGCTCAACTCAGTGACTTTGGTAAATACACGATCATGGGGCTCTAAAGATCGTGTCCACTTGGGCAGCCACTCCCAGTCGTGCAACACTTCTGGTAAATGACCAGGGGCTTTCCTCTGAAGGATATTAACGATAACAATAAACAAGAAGAGAAGCAGGAGGGGAGCTGCAACACCAAGGAGAATCTGCCAACCAGCCAAGGACAAGCCAAACACAGCTGCCGGAAGCAGGAAGAACCCAAACACCAGGTAAGCTATGGCAAACCATCGGTAGTCCGCAGTTTTGTTGCCAAGGGTCTTTGCAAAACTGATGGGTACTTTTCGCAGATAAGGAATAGGATACCACACAATGATGCCAGATATGTTGAAGAACAGATGGCAGAAGGCTATCTGAAGAGCTTTGTCCAAATTTGATGAACTGGCCAGGGCAGCCAGAACACCTGTAGCAGTCGTTCCAATATTAGCACCCAGGGTCAATGGGAAGGCTCTTTCAAGAGACACCACTCCAACTCCAATAAGAGGTGTAAGTGCTGATGTGAAGATGGAACTGGACTGGACCAACATAGTTAATCCAGCACCAACTAGGATAGCCAAGTAACCAGTCAGATGTCGGAATGGTCCGGGAAAATCAGCATTGACAGTCTTCTTGATGATTTTGGCCATTTGACCACGCAGCATGGAATGCAGGGTCTTTACAATGCTGACAAGGCAGACGCACAGCAGGCCGATGGAGAGTACCAGCAATATGATGCCAATCTCTGTGTCGTTAAGTGGGGTGCGACTGAAGAGAAATTTGCATTTGACTTCTTCTTCAATCGTCTCATTCACAAGCATGTATCTGGTCATGTTCATGGTAGCGTTTACCACAGTTTTATTAACTGTTACAGTTTTCTCCTCTTTGCAGTGTTTGATGAGTGACATTGACTCAGCTGACTCATCTCCAAGTGCAATCTTCTCAATAATCTTTTTGTCTAACTGAATGATAAGCTTGGTAAAGGGCTCGGTGATCACTTTCAGTAACTTTTGGTTGGTTCCTTTCTTTTGGGTGAGTGGAAGTCTCTTAATGATCTCCCCAGTTAGATGCAATAAGTAGTGTGTGATGACTTCTAAAGGCAGAAATATGATCACAGACAGCCAGTTAAATATGTCATGAACAGTTGCTCCAGCAAAGGCACGACGGAACTCATTTCGTTCAGCAGCTTGTGCCAGGGAGACTATGGTGTTGGTGACTGACGTTCCAATGTTGGCACCCATTACTATTGGAATAGCAGGTTCCACCTGCAAAACTGCAAAGATACATAATACATTAAACTCTCTTTACTTTGATAATGTGCACTACAAGGCACTTTGAATAGAAGGTCTGCTGGAGATATGTTGTCTTACCTCCACCAATACTAAATTTACCCTCAGAATTTACACGAAACCAAACATACAAAGCACAAATGTCTAAATATAAATTTTAATAACAAAAAATTGTGCTCATCAGAACCACTGTTTTCCAGATCAATTTTGTAGAGTCATGTTAGGTGGCAAACTATTCCAAACATGTGGACGAAATACAATTCAAAGATTTAAATATAGGCTGCCACTTGAATGTTTATGGCTCAGGTCACACGTTACGTAAATGACGCTATTAGGAAAAGTGCAGGCCTATAATATTATCAGTCCAGTATTATTTCATATATTTAGCTTAATTAAGCACAGCACTTCCCTAAAGGTTAACACATTTTTCTTTTTGTTTTGCTTTGGTTACACATCACTTTGAATGTGTCTAGGTTTGAATAACATTCTTTACGAAGGGAAAATAGCGTTACAAGTGAACTTAAGTTCAAACCCTTGGAGAGGTCAGAACTCGACTTATTTACATACATACAACTTTATTTGACAATTCAGGTTTACAGAACAGAATTTGTAAATAAGCAAATAGGATCCAGTAGATGGAGTCGCTTGTCAAATCATAAATTGTTCAAAAAGATAACTAATAAAACTTACTCCCAGCAGCGACCATTGAAACGACGATGGAAGTAGTAGTGGAAGAACTCTGGACAAGAACGGTTGCCAAGATGCCGATCATCAAGCCGGCAACGGGGTTGGACAAGATCTTGTTTGAAGCAAATGCTTCGCCAGCCGCTTTTCCACCCAGTAATCGGAAGGCACTACTGAGAAAGTCCAGCGAGCAGATGAACAGGTAGAGAAGAGCAAGAAGAAGGAGTACTTTGCCAACGGAAAGAGCGACTCGTTTCACTTTTCCACGACCGTCAAGTTCTGTGGGCCCGCCAAAAAAAAAGTATACTGTAAGACGCGGGAAATTTGCCGAAATTAAAAAAGATCACAAAATGACAACAAACAGTAATACGAAATCGTACCAGACCACTTTGGTCCAAGATCCTGAAGTTCTGGCAAAGCCCATGGATCAAATTCTTCACTGATTTCGTCCTCGTGTGGCGGTTGAGTTCCCGCCTCTTCCTCCACCGGCAAAAATGCCTTGTTGTGGCTCTGAGAATGAAATGATCAATGAGATTTTAACACGATTTCAAGACAGCGAAAAACTTTTGAAACTAATCACACTTAAAAGCCAGAAAAAGCGTGCACGTGAAACTTGAGACCTACCGGTAAATTCTCTTGCCCGCGATTTTCCATTTCCACACCAACCAATTTAGAAGAACTTGTTAGTAGGTCCGCCATCTTAGGTGAACTAAACGTATTTCTAAAGTGTTAGGAGTTTTATTGAAGCTTCAGCCCACCGGACACCTGTAAACCAATCACCTTCGAGATACGTCATAATCTCACCTTTGATTGGTCACTGTGAATGATCCGAGCCATTGACATGATAGTCCCACGTGCCAAAACTGGACTTTGGATTGGCCGGAAGCTGTACTTCTCTCAGTTCGTACACGTGTAGCTTGTTCGTTCAGAACAAATAACTTTCCGTTTTCCCGTCCTTTCACCTCTCTCACTTTGGAGTCTGTTTCATCTCAGGCGCCATTTACTGACAATAAACCGAGAAAAGGACAAAACGTTACTCGCAATATGAATCGTAACGAGGAATTCTTAGATTAAGATAGATGCGATATTCAAGATGGCAATTCATAACAGGTCTGTAGCAAGTTGTCGGAAAATGTTATTTGGTCGTTTCTCATCCTCTTTATTCATTCTATCTGGTTAAACTACAGGGAAGATGAACTGTATAGTGCATCTTGGATCGACCGATCAGCTATCGATAGTAGACATCTGGCCACTTCTGTTAATGTTATTGGTGTTTTCGTAGCTTCAAACTAACAAACCATAGCTTGAAGCGTGCCTCTGAAGTAATTTTCCCGCTATATTAGAGACATCTGAATTAGTAGACTCTCTAATGCAGCGACTCTTTTGGTCATCTTTTGTCCTGAAGTGGGACATATGAATAGTAAAAATGACCGGATAGTGTTGAAATTTTAACTTGGGCAGAGTAGCAGGCGTGAAACGAGGAGGGAAGCGGGGAGGGAGAAAGGGACGCACGCTATGAAATTTACGCCAGTCATGTCTGCTGTCACATGAAAAATAGGTGACGTTTCACCATTCACGCTCGACCGTGTGTTCTTCGCACGTTTTTATACGAGGAAAACAGGAAACCTCCTGATAAAGATTTCATTACGACAGATCACGTACCGATCGGCTGCCCAGAAGAACACGATCACTGGCTATAGGTTATCCCTGTTGAAGTGTTGAAAAGTAATAGGGTCATAACTAGCGAAAACGTTCAGGATTTTTGCTCCTTTCGAGATTTTGTGGTCACGTTCCCTTTTTCGTTCTTGATGAAACGTGCGTCGATTGCGTGTGTCACGCATGGCTTAATTCATGGAATGCAATCAAACAACTTCAATTTTGTATCATTGCACTCTCGTTTTTTGGAAGAAGTATTTAAAATACTTCTTTCAAACAATACAATGGAATAGGACGTGTTTTTGTCCGTTATTTCATGCTCTTCCTCCCTGAGATTTATGCCAACGATTTATTGCCGTGCCGAGAGATAAAGTTTTCTTTGGATAATGTAAAGAATAAAATCCGAAGGCAAACACTTATCGCGTTGGCAATAACCTCACTTGTATTTGCCAGGATCAATATTGTGTAACTACAACAATCCAACACGATCCAACAAGTAACAAACCGTCAAGTTTAAATAAAATAAACTTTGACTCTGCGTTAAGGCTATCTGAAAGTGATAAATAAGGCACTTCAACATGTTCCACACGTCCTAAGGTCGCCTTTATGAGTTTAAGCAATGTAATGGCCGCTTGAACATTTGTAGAATGCATGCAATGATTACACACCGGATGGATCGCACCGGGAATATCCCGTGCGTATTCGTAGGATATACTCTTGCGATGAAGCCGGTGAAGACTGGATGTGGATTGTTGTATTTCACTGGTATTGATTATTGATCAAGACTGACTGCGGAACAGTTGCGATAAAGTTCTCAGACAAAACATGGTCAGCTAGGTTGGAGAGGAACGAGTTTGACTCACTTGGGAATCCCACGTAAAGCGAGTGAGACGGCTGAAACAGTAGCTAATAGTGTAAATCAATCCGTGTGTAAAAGCGTAAAAATTGCATAAATGATTAATACAACAAGACATGAAGACAATGAAATGAAAAAAAGAAAAATCAAAGAAATCAGTCGCTTTACCCCATGCCGTTACGGTACTGGAGTGCTGCTTCAATAAAACTACCCCAGAGAAGCTAGTAGATACGTAATATTTTTAAATAAATCTGCAGAGAAAGCGAACTGACTCGATATTAGACACGCTGGTAGAGCAGACTTGTTAACGTTATTCAGTTTGATCCGCCATGTAATTATTTATCAATTGTCACGCAGTGCTCCATGGTTTTCTGGAAGAATTGTGGCTAATATTTCTTTAGTAGGAATTTGGAGCAAGTTTGACTGAAACGAATCACGTCAGCAAAATTTTAGTGGGGTCTAGCTGGGTTGTAGTACCATTGGTAATGTACTTGAATTCACTATTCAGAACCACAAACCATGAGGTACTGAAAACAATGCATTGAGACTGAAAGAAATGGCAATACTATACTATACTTATATTGGAGGCGGTTATGCCAGTTTATCACCGATATATAGATATTTTCGATGACATTTTATTTGAGTCCTTACAGGGTTTCCGGTAAAACCACTATTGAAAGTGTTCATTACCTTGCAAGGTATTCGACGCCTGAATGGAGCCCGAGAATTTTCTTTCCCCGAACTTTGAATCAAATTAACACGACTGGGAAAAATTCTGAATACAGCGACCAAATGTCTCGAAATGTAGCAATAGAAGACTCTGAAAAAGACTCTTAAACTTTTCTCTTAATCCTAAGTCATGTATTGTGGGTCAAGAGAAGAGATTTTACACTTGCAAGAGGCAGGGCAAGAAATAAAGAAAACAGATCGATCCAGCAGGACTCCAGCAGGGCTGCAATTTGCAAATACGCGACTTTTACGAATCAACCCTTCAGATTTTAGAACCATGCACCCGATTCCAGTTTAGTGCGTAGACCGAGATTTTCAAAGCATGTGAATCACATGATTTGACAATGCTCATCCGACTCTGACATGCTTAATGCTCTTTTGCTTTGTCATTTAAATGTCATACATTATCTCTTGGTTTATTTACTCGTACATGAACTTGTCAGTAGAGGCCGGTATCGTGTCGTTCGACCATAATCACGCCGCGATATGTTACAAATATACTAACGTGCCGATTATCGAATTCCCGACACACAATTCCTGGCTCCCGTGTTTATTTATTACATCCACAAGAAGTTCCTGAACAGGCCGATGAAGATTGAGTCATAATGGGCACATCACGAAAGGCGAATAACTAGTGCTAAACACTGCATTGAGATTTATCCATGATGTTATCATGATAGCATGTCCGTCAACTTTCATAATTCTAATTAAATTTTTATAAACGCAAGCTTCTGAACTCGTTTTAGAAATTTAATTTTACAAGTTAGTTTTGCAGGAATTTCTACGTGAGAAGACTGCAGCGTAATAGCGTTTCAGCTGTTTATCTACGTTACTGATGACGTAAAACGGCTCAACACATAGCTGTTGTTGACTTTGTTTCCGATTGTTGATCAGCACTTGTATAGATTTTTTTTAATATCTTCCGGTTGGAAATATTCCAGTATTACATTTCAGAGTAAGACCAAGGAGATCCTTATCAGACTTCAGACTCAGTACAGGGTACTTCAGACTTTAACCTCTCGTGATGGCTCGCCTTACCGGATTGTGATAGAGACCTCTGTTGTGCCATACAGATCGCGTGTAAATAGCCTGGGTAAATAGCTTTCAATAAAGCTTCTCGTTACGGTCCGGCCTGTGTTGCGGTGGTAACTGAAAGACGCACAATTCTAATTCGCCCAGTAGTGTGAGAACTTGTCAAACAATTCTAGGTTTGATTTGCACGAAGCAATTTGTGTTGTACTCTTGTCGCCAAACGGGTCCAAAACTGATTGTTTAGAAACTACGCCTGTTTTAGGGCTTCAAAGCCCTTTTCAGAATCGTACGATATTACGCAACACAAATCAGATTGTTTCACGTCAGCGAAACCAAGCGAAACCTACGATAGAATGAAATCGCGACTGTCTTGTGGGAGACGAAAAACATTTCCGATGTAGGAGTTTGAACGTGTGTGAAGTTATGTTATCGGAATACAAAAAAATGACCATTGAGAAGATTTCAATTTTTTGGATGTTTCCAGAGGATCTTGCATTTTCAAAGGCTCTCACGAAAAAGTTTGTTCCTATGGCTTGTTGGGCCGAAAAAAAAAATTCTAGTGATTGTATTTCTTATCGATAGTTGTGCATCAAAAAGTAACGCAAGGCTATAGAACGCTGGCGTATTTTTACGGAGAAGTTGTAGCCCGAGCACTAAGCTTTTGGAAGGTACATGCATGGTGGGAGGGAGGAAAAAAGAAGGAAAGGAAAAAGTAATATTCTCCGCCTCCCCAAGCCCTTAGAAGTCGTAGGAATACCCGACGCTCAGGTTTTGTTACTGTGTGATCAGTTGTGGGTCCATTTATATTTTGAGACGAAAGCACTTAATTGACCCCACGGGCAGGTTATGTCAAGTACACTTATCAATTACATATATGGTGATATCAACAGAGCAGATTCTGTTTCAGGACAAAGTACACGGTAAGCGTAAAGGCCGTAGAAATATCGCCGGAATTTATTGGTCTAACATTTCAACACACCATAGAATCAACGTGTTCCGCTACTTTGCTACACTCTTTTTATAGATTTCTCTGCCGATTTTGGGCTGAAAATACTCCGGTGAATATTCTTAGTTGAAGTAATTTTGGAGCCAAACTGCCATCGATAAAGCCTGAATCATGTTATTAGCCTTGAACATACGGCTAGTGTTGTTTTTAGCTTCTTCTGTTTTTGGCTAGTTTTGCAGTCCCCCCCACCCCCCTGGGCTCCACATTACTTCAGGACCTTCCACGGTGAAAAGTCGGCTGTACACAGTAGTCAAATTTTCCTTCATGGCTTACTATTGATCAATAATGAACCTGATACATTTCTTTTCTGAAACATATCTAGTATTTTCAATAACACTGAGTTTCACCGCTCTTCTCTTAATTAATCGGATCGATGTGGGACACCACTTATTTCGAATAAGTTGAAGTTCATTTTAATGCATTTCCTGGGGTAATCAAAATTTCCAAGGTAATAGTAAGGAAAAAAAATCCGAGATTGAGTGAGCCCCACCATAATTTTCGGGCAATTTTCAATTTTGAGCACTTCTAGAAAATTATTGCGAAGTATCGATATATTTTTTTTGCCAACGTTTACGACATATGCTTGATAGTGTAAGTTTTTTTCCCCCATCCCTCGCTTGGCGAAAAAAGAACGCCTGATCGCATAGCCTGCGAGAGCATTCTTTTCAGGTTTTCTCGGCGCTTGAGACAAGAGCCAAAAAACCCGCATGCTTTCGTAGGCTAACGAAAGCAGTACATCCTCTGCGTCTATGGAACGCTTGTGCCCTGAATTTCCATGCACTGGGATTTCTTGAAATAAATGCACTAGAGGCAAAGTTTCTGCTGGAAGATGGGATTTTATATTCCTCCCCCACCCCATTACTTTAGGTCCTTGAGGCTTCAGGACCTTCTTCATTGCAAAGTCAGAAATGTATTCTACCCGTGCATATGGGAAACCTTATCATAGAAAATAGCCCAGATAAAAATTAAAGAAATGGCTACGAAAGTATTCTTCAGCTTTCCCCTCCTTTCGTTTCCTTTCATACGTAAAGAGGACTTTGTCTAGCGAATCAGCGGACTACCGTAAAATGATCCAGCGCGTTCATCGCACGACATCCAGCACAGTCTCCAACACATACCATACATGAAGTATCTCCTAGTAAGATTCCAAGATGGCGCATTCAGGTATTTCTGCGGGTGCGAAGGGTAGACTTGTCGCAGTGATCGGAGACGAAGTAAGCAGTTAATGGCCCATTTTTCATCCTAAAATGGCAGTTATATAAGAATAATTTTGTTTGTTTTTGTTTTTTTTCTTTTTAAGGACACTTGCACTGGCTTTTTACTGGGTGGAATAGGAGAAATCAACGGCAAGAGACAAAAGAATTTCCTAGTTGTAACCAAAGGTAAAAAAAATAGAATAACTTAAGGATGTCCTCCCTTAGGACCGATCGTTAAACTAATTCAGGGAGCAACCATTTTCTGTTGACGGTCGATTTGAGGACTAGGGCTTCAATGGTTTTTACAACTTGTGATTCTAGATCACTCGGTGAGGTCAACATCGAGACAAAAAACATCGCTCAATCGTTGCTATCGATCTTTAATATCTTTAATAATCTTTAATAAGTATACTCCTTAAACAGTGGAACTATACTAGGAGTTTAAAATAACATAATAAAGGCACGTAATAAATAATTACAATATGTATGTATACAATAAAAATTATAAGTTAGTAAAAGATAAGATAAAATAGATTAAGTATAATCTCGTCGAGACAAGTTAGGACGTCTGGATATACATTATACAAAAGATTTAATGGCTGCAAGAGCAATAGTCTTAAAATTATGATGGATGGAAATTATTATCGATGGACACATAAAAATTGTCTAGATTCACAAAGTATCACAAGGTTTGGGAGAACCTCTCAGGGTAGCACTAAGTATCAAGGACTGATCACAAGTTATCATGTCACATTAGAAAGTATTGCAAAATATAGCAAAATATCAGAAGGTGTCACAAGGCATCACATGGTATCGAAGTAAACAAAGTGCTGCAAGTTATAGCAAAACATCAGAAGGTGTAGCAAGGTATCAAAGTAATTTAACAAGACATCGCGAGATGTGGGAAAACATCCGAAGGTGGCGAAATATCAAAGTGTAATTCACAATTTGTCACAAGGTGTCACAAGTTATTGCATGTTATCTCAAGGTATTACAGTTTGCAAAGTAGCTTTTGTTTATACATTTTCATCAGTACTTGTCTACTTAGGGCACAAAACCTGGATGTAAGGTTTTTACTGTTTTTTTTCTATGATTGATGCAGAGTAGAATTACTTTGAAACCAATTAGGTGCTTTTTTTTTTTTATCAAAAAGGGTTGCATGATTCATAACCTGACACTTGCCACCTCCATGTGATATGCATTACAACTCAAGATCTTTTGTTAGATATGCCATGTGCTGCTTATACATTGAAAAATAATCAAATATAAGTTCACTCTTTCATTTATATTTTGTATCGCCTTCACGCAATCTTCTTGTTCATTCTAATCATCCAACTTTGCTCCCTCTTCTCTTCTCAAGGGTAAGACAGCCTTGAGAAGACGATTCGAGAGCTGTTTTACTCACATATTCTTAATATGAAGATAAGTTCCCTTTATACAAGAAGTTTCAAGCATACACTTCTCTGTTCTTAGATACAGATGGACTAAAAATGGCTTTACGGGGCTGAAAAGTTTCCGGGCTTTCTAGAAACAGGCCCCCGGTCACTTTGTGAGATTTTAATATACCATTAGACAATGAAGAATTCAAATGAATATATGACAGATCATATCTGTGAACTGTGGAGAAAGATATGAAGAAATGATTGATCATCGCAGTTACATACACAACTTAAGCAGTTGTGAAATTAAAGCCTGGAAAAAAAAAATTCAGGCCTGAACAGGACTCGAACTCATGACCTTTGCGATACCAGTGCAGTTCACAAATATGATCTTTCATATATTCATTTGCATACATCAGTTAATGTTGCGCCGTGCTAAAACAAAACTTTCTTGAAGAATTTTCATCAAGTAGTAGGAATGTAATATAGGAAAGTTTGATCCAAATGAATATCATTTTCAACAGGAACGTATTAAAAGGAACATTTCTTCAAATTTAAATTGAAAACTCAACCAGCGCACTGAGATATTGTTACAGCAGACTAACATAGCAGGGCATCATGAAGTACAAACGTTTTATGGTATCTGCTGACTAGCTTTCCTGTCAATCACTGACAACACAGTTTAGACATACATTGTAAAGAATTTACCTATGTGGCAGCAAAATAGATATAAACTGGAAGAAGAGCCTGGTCATAACAACTTAATATAACATTTTTTGCTGTCTGAAAGTAATGACCCTTCAAAAGCGACAACCTCCCGAAAGTAATGAGCCCCAAAGGCTGTTAATGCCAAAAGTAACAAGGGTTGTTACTTTGGGAAGTTTATTGTATATCATGCAAACCCACCTACCATGCTTAGTAATTAGTAATTTAAACTATTAGAAAAAAAGAAATATGACCAATTAGGCCAATTAGGATATAAATCAATGCTGTAAATCATCAAAGAACTTGTTGTAACGTCACAAGACCTGTTTGGTTGCTTAAACAATACTATGAATTTAATGAGTGGTAGAACAGGCAGAAAAAGTTGTTTCATCAAAACTGAAGTTTTGTAAGGTTTTTAGTAACCTAATAAGTATTATTAAGAACAGAAATTAAGAAACTCTCTGGTTACCAATTCTACCTTCTCAATCTCCATAATAATTCATCAAGTTTAAACAAAGGAAGTGACGGTGTTTGGATTTCTGATCATAATAAGCATAGATTTTTATTTCTCCATTTTCTCTTTAGTTTTAGTCGATTGAAAATGTATTTCAGTCACCCAAGACAGTCTCTAAATCATTAGCTTTCATTTCAAAGCTCTTTAGAATATCACTTCTTAATTATCTTCAGATCAATTGTAAGAATTAAAAAACGCAAGTTGTGCAAGAGTGTTTTTTTTGTGAAGTGTCGGAGATAGGAGCATTCAGGGAGCTGTTTACAGTATTGATTTGGTTAATTTGACAAGTTTTTTTGGTTGCGATGTACAGCAAGAAAGAAACTGGGAATTTATGACCTACATGCAATGTTACATTGCTCATGGTAAGATAGCTGAATAGTAAGCCATAAAATGTTTGACTGAACAAACTACGGTAATCTGACACGTCTCCAGATTAATGCAGATACCATCTTATATTCTAACAGGCAATTTGATTCGTTCTTTGATACAACCCACACTGTGATTGGTGTGACACACGCACATGCATAACTCCCTCACCCACTGATCACGTAGCCCTTTTAACCCCCAAGAGGAATTTTTGCTCAAAAATACTCAAGTTAAATAAGAGACCTTTTCGCATTTTATACAAGTCGTAAGTTTACCCTATTTACACAACACAACACAACACAATGCTACTTCACTGAAAATAGAAAAAAAGAGAAAAAAAGCCTCTCTGACACGTTGAAAGTGTGATTTAATTAAGTTGCACTTTAACTTGGTGCCACACAGTCTTCAAAGAACATTTGAGCAGTTTTCATACTTTTTAATTTAAAAATATTGCACTGAAATGAATGTCACCTTGAAACAATAGCCGATAACTTGTCAGCTCTAATTGAATTTACTCCCATATAAAAAACAAAACTGTCAAGTTACCATTGGTAACTTAAGATAGCAAACATCTCGTGGGAAAGAGTGGTGACGATTCATCAGCTCTAATTGAATTTACTCCCTTGTGAAAAACAAGGGTGTCAAATTACCCTTTGTAACTAAAAAATAAAACTATCTCATTATATTTGCATGCAACAAGAACAAAACAATTGTTACCTGCACTTACTGTTGTAAACGTTAGAACTCTTTCAAATCTAAATAGTCTCGTCTCCTCTAAAACATGTCCTAAGAACTAGAAGTGACGATTCATGACCTCTAATTGAATTTAGTCCTTGTGAAAAACAAAAGTATCAAGTTACCTTTGTAACTATGAATGAAAATCAGTCCATTTGCATACTACTAACTCACAAACTGTTTGAAAACTCAAGGCTCATCTTGTTCATAACGAAAATTCTCAGCCTAACCCACAAAAAATGTTGAAGTAAACCCAATATATGAATACTTCCTCCTCTTTTATAGAAGAATAAATATGGCCGTTCTGAACTCCATCGGGATCAAATCTTCTCACACACCATTTACCTTTACAACAAGAAATTTGATTGGCTGTTTATAGTAGATCCAATCTGATTGGAGTGACATACATACATCTCTTACTCACTCACTCACTCATCCATTGACCCGTCCATAACGCACCCGACGCGCTGACTAAGAGGTATTTTTTTTTGACGAAAAACTAACTCAAAAATGACAGAAGTATCCATTTTTGTCTCAGTTTAAAAACATGTTCTTGTTCAACATCATAAACTTCATAATTATTATAAATCTCAAAGTATTGACAATTCAAAATTTTGCATGGTGGTTAATGTTTCCTATGCCTCAAAGAAAGAAAAAGAATAGCTTTGGATTGGTTTAAGTTGAGAATCTTAGAATATATTTGGATTTAGAAATTATCAAGATCTAATAATAAAATGCCACTGAATTTGCGAACAGACAAGTAATAGTAATAAAGGAAATCAATATCTTTAACGTTTGGAATGGGATAGATTGCATTCAATAAATTGGTGCTGGTCTGGTATATTCTAAGACATAAGTGTCATTCTTGTAATTGTTAATGGTTTTATCATTTTGTTATTTTACTTGTGTAAGATGGAATTGAATTATATTTTGTTTTGCAGAAACATCAGTGAGTGAACTTGAAGAAGCTTTCTTGCACTTTACTAGTAGAAGTGATATTGCCATTCTATTGATAAATCAAAATGTAGGTGCAGGGTATTTTTTTCAACAATAATTATTTCTTTATTTAATGATATTGTTATATTATGAGACATTTTTGATCTAATTGTTTTGGTATGTCATAGTCATTCCTCTTCACAGACACTTTGTTAACACAAACAATTGGCCACCATTTTGATTTAAAAACAACGGCTCACTATTGGGCTCGTTACTCACTATCTACAACTGAATAGATAGTGAGTAACCCAGCCAAAAAGCATATGGCATTCGTGATATTATACTAATCAATGGGATTATCAGTGAAGTTCACTGATATTTCTAGTGAATATCAAGAGTGAGATTCTTCCCCATATTGTCATTAGTTCCTGTTTGTGATATTGGTAAAATGACAATCTAAACTTAGAAACTCCCTAGGAATTTGTTCATGTGTAGAATTTTATCATACCTTAAATTTTGGTTAACTTAACAAAAATTTTCTATTAATTTAGAACTCAGAGCCAATGACAATAATGAAAGTCATAATTCTAAAATGTTATCAAGAAAAGAAAATGTCCACGATTTAATGGGAAATTTCTCGCAATGAAGTTATAAGGACCATAAATATTTTGTCTGCAAATAACAGAAAAAGTAGGATTAATGGGAAACAATACATTTAAGCTGTAATGTCAATTGCTCTGTAGGAAATTATCATGATTTTTTGTTGTTGTTCAGATTGCGGAGGAGATCCGACATATACTTGATAATCATGACAAGGCTATCCCAGCCATTCTTGAGATACCATCCAAGGAACATCCTTATGATCCATCCAAGGACTCAATTTTAAGGAGAGCAAAGGTAATTAATTATATATTTTTCGTATTTAACTTTCCTAAATGTGCTACGATAATACGTTAACATACACTGTCTTGTTTCTGAGCCCCAGTGGATTATTGCGCAGATACCATTATAGCAGCCATAGGTTGCAGCTTGTTACTCTAAAACCATTACTATTGGAAACTTGAATCATATTAAAATGATTATGGCATATCTTTGATCAAATGACAGGCATATCCACGTCACCAAATGAATTACAAAATACCATTACCCAAAGACTGGTGTAAACACAAATGCAATGCTTTGTATTACAAATCTAGGGAAATTTATTTTGTTCAAAAATTTTCATGTGGAAGCTGCAATCCAAATTTGTGGAAAAAAGCGAAGGTTTTAAATATTTTCCACATAGTTTGGTCACTAAGGTTTATACAATAATGGAATTCAATTCATTTAATAAAATTTTCAACATTTCTGTTACATTTGTTTTCAGGGACTATTCAGTGCAGACGACTTCAAGTAGAGTCCACAGCTACTAACTGCAACCAAATTACAAATTTACAAGGTTCATTATAACATTTTTTGCAGATCTGCATTATTATGTAATTAAATTAAACTGTAGTATAATTACAAATTTGATAGACTGAAACAACAATTCAGACTTATTTAATAAGGGAAAAATTCCAAAAAATGAGATATTGTAAATTACATCTAGCTAGTCAACCTTAGCTTTAGCAAAATCGGCTAGTTTGAATAAAGAGGGACCTTCAGCAATTAGGACAGGAACTCCAAAGACAGCTATATCCATTGAAAAGTTGTAATTTTATTTTCCTCGAGAGTCTGGCAATTATCCCCCATTTTCAATTTGTCTATTGTTTGAAGAACTAGCCCAGACTAAATGTTTTAAGCTTGTATTCAATTCCAATGAGAAATGACGTGTCATGCAAATTTGGTAATTACACAATTTTGAACTGTTTTGCAGAGGACAGCTTATAAAAGCTTATAGTTGTATTTTGTTTATTGATGTTCTCCTTGCTGTTGCGGTGTGCTAGAGCTCCTTTACCCAGACATGGTTCATGTTGGAGAGAATTAAATCTTGAATTGGAAATAATGCCAATTGATATAGACTAGCTAAACAAGCAAAGTTGTGTGGCACCTTTTTTTCTGAAAATTATGCAGCAATTATTATAGTTACATTCCAAAGCGAGCACAGTAGTGTCCCACCTTTGTAATATACCTACTTTTTTTCCATTTAACTCCCTTTGCATATAACACCAACACCTCCTTGATATAACCATAATTCGGTGACCCCTTGGCAGTTGTGCTAGTGGGGTTCCAATCATAATAATATTATTAATATTCATGTTCTGAATTTACAGGACTGCTCATATACATTTAGTCAGCAGTTTTAGTCATTATTTGGGGAATAATAAACAGTCCCAAAATTTTAATTTAATAACAATGCAAATAAAAACGTGGTCTTATTTTATTTGGAAAAATTTGTCTGTTGTCAATCCATGTTGTGGCCATCTGTTCAGTAACTGATTACATGTGATGTCAAAATGTGGTAAGAACTTGTTCTTACCCTGTTTTGAATCTTATGTGGTCAATTACTGAACAGACACTTGGCAAATACAAAAAGTGATAATGATATCATCTATAAATGTCCTTCAAATGATCATAAGTATTGTATGAACCAATCAAAATCCAAGGATAATTCCACCTGTTGTATAAATTTCTATTGAAATGGAAATCAACTGAAATAGATTAGTTGCAATAAGGCCCAGTTCATACGTCGCATTTCTGCCGTGTCAAATTCAATTCAATTAAGTGCGGCAGAAATGCGACTGTGGATTCATATGTTGCACTTGTGTCGTACTTAATTCAGAATTTATACTGTCGGGTATGTTGGCAAGCGGAAAATGTTTTAAACGTAGAGTATTCAATATAGCAGACGAAAATATTGAGCGACGAAGGACTTTAATTTTTCTAAAACTTGTCCGCCAATGGAACAAGAAGGGGAAGGCTGACAACGGAGCAGTATGTGTTGCAATATGTTCAGGTTGCATCGGGTCGAGAACGGCCAAGTTTCTTCTTTTTCTTTGGCAGGAAAACATTTATGCATGCTCAATACATTAACATAATGTATGCATTAGATTCGAGACGGCAGAAATTCGACGTCTGAATCAGTGTCGCATTTCTGTTGGATAATGCGACAAGACCAGTCGAACGTGCGGCAGAAATGCGGCAGCCAATTCAGATGTTGAATTTCTGTCGAATTTAATTCGTTGAATTGAATTAGATGCGGCAGAAATGCGACGTATGAACCTGGCATAAGACAGCATTAAAAGTATTAAATGTAAGAGCAGTACAAGGATGATCTGGTTATGAGTCTGAATGATTTAAAGTTGTAACTGATCCATTGTTAGTGTTATGTACAATATGAAATAAGTGTTTTATTGAGTTCAAAAAGAATATGTCATTTGCAATGAAATTTATTAATCTGAGAAAATCAAAGAAATTTTAGTAAGACTAAAATTTGATTGCTTGGTCATTTTCAGGGGTGGGATGGGTATTGATATGCCATAAAATTTTGTCTGTTTGGTGGGGTTGTTTAGAAAGAATGTTGCTTTCCAGGAATAACTGGTTCCATTTAATGCATTTAACACAAAAACAAGATGCTGTAACAGAACTTACTTGAGCTTCTTTTACAAAATGTACATCTGCATTGTTTGTCTCAGAAAATCAGTTCAGACTATGAGACCATTGTGAAGTGCAGTTAGACTGCACTTATTTGAACTCGATTATTTCGAATTCCCCGTTATTTTGAGCTCAAAACAATTTCCCTTGGAACTGCTCTTCAGTCATTCACTATTGGCTATTTCAAACTATTTTTTGTTTCCCCAGAGTTCGAAATAGTGGGGTTCGACTGTATATTTTAACACGTAAATCAAACAAGATAGGTGAACCTTTAGAAAGATCCCTCTTACTGTAAGTTACTCTTTATTACACAGAGACCCTGGCTGTTATCACACAGACTATTTCTTATGCAATGATGAAACTACTGGGTTACCCATTCTCTTCACCCTGTTCATCACTAAACATCTTATGCACTTTAACTAACATATACATCATCCTTTAATTCTATGGTCAAGTGAATCCCTGATAACCTTTTAAGATAAATAATTATATAAATAAACCCATAACTATGAGTGTTCCGAACTGAAATTTTGTGTTCATTTTGTGTAAGGCG